AGTTTAACATTGTCGGTTGCATGTAAATTTTTATATGCAATCTTTGATAAAGGTAATGACCAGCTATCTTTCATTCACGAGTGGATCGAGTAGCTTGCGGTGAAAGGGGATGGTTTATTTGCATGGACTATTTCATATGTTATATTTCGTCTGTCCTTGTTGATCGTTGCCTTAGCAACCGATTGATATAAAATCTCTTCTCTTAGCAACCGTTGTTGTCGTTTACAGTTTATTTTCAATGAGTAAACATGTATAATTTTGCTTTGTAAAAGTATTGTGAAAGTAATAAATGTTTTGTGTTTTGTGTTAATTCAAAATGTTTACGTCTCGCAATTGTGCCTGTCGAAAACAATCATAACATTGTGGTTGATTTCTAACTGGATATTTTGGAAACGGCGAAATTCCCAAACAATTAGTAATATAATTTCCGTCATTTCTTATAACATTTTTACTGGAAGCGAAACAACCGGCACTGATGAATCGGAAAGGAATAGTGTTCCATCAGGATAATGCGCGTGTTGCAATGCAAACCGTCCAGAAATTAAATGAGTTTGGCTGGGAAATCCTTACTAATCCTCCCCATACTCTCCTGAAATTACCCCATCAGACTACCATCTATTCCAATCTTTGCAATATTATTTGGGTGGGAAAAATTTGAATAATTTCCAAGATATCAAAATGTGTCTCAATGGATTTTTTTATGGCAAATTAACAGAATTTTATAAAAGTGGCATTGAAAAATTATTAGATAGATATCCAGTATCCAGTATCCGTTATTGTCTATAACTTGTTGCAATCTTCTTGGCATTGAGTTGATTAAATTTTGCGTGTAATCTTGTCGCTGCGATAATTGCTGCCACACTTGATGCACATTGTTCCGTAAGGCTTCTTTTGTTCGGAGTTCACCAACTCTCATGCTTGCACCAATCTTGCACCAATTTTGATGTATGGACGGCACTATTGTCTTGCACTACTTTTATAACTGGATATTGTTCTTCCGGAAATATTCTTCTAATGCCAGGTTTTAATATTTCTTGAAGAATTTCCACGTATTCTTCGGCATCCATTCTTGAAGATATCTCTTGTAGATTTAACAATCCACTTGAAGTCATACTTCCCCAGAATCCTAATGTGATTCTGCCGCTACTTCCTGATGGGATAACATACTTGGGATTTAAATGCGATCCATTTGGTCGCCAGACTCTACGTCGTCCATCTTCTGAGGATGAAAGACTTTTTTCGTCCATCCAAATGACGGCATTTCATTCCTCTTGAGGTATATTCAAATATTCTCTTGCGAATTGTACTCTTTCCATCCTATGTTGTGGCTTGAGCTCTATTTTCTTTGCTGCAGGATGTGAGTATATACCTGCAGCACGTAGACGGCGTCTAACGGTTTCTGTAGAAATATCTAATTCCCTGTTCCTTAAAACGTATGCGACTGGATTCAAGGGATTTTCGTCTACAG